GGAGCCGGATGCTGGATAATGAGATTCTACTCCACCCAGTGGCGCGAAAGCAAGAATAACTCTCAAGTGATTTCCAAGTAGCAATCTCCTGATAGACCGAGAAGCAGATGCAAAAAAGGCCGAGGGAAGAGTTTAGTAGCCATATCCATCCAATGGCTATAGTTCACGCATGAAACCCCAAAATCAATAGATAGGCCAAAGATCCTTTATGACTATTACTTGGGCGGTTACGTCTTCCACCGGAATAGCTCAACGGAATACCAAGAATTGCTGCATCTCCTAATGCTCCTTCCTTTTTTCCAACCATAATCTCTTCGCGCTATGATACTAACCAATCCATCGAAATTATTAGGGCTTAACCAAATCAGCAAGTCAAGAAATAGGAAGAGAAGAGGGCGAGGCAGCTAGGCTACCTGCCGAATTGTATGTACCTGCCTCTGAGTAGAAGGGGCCATGTCCTCGGCTTCGGATGACTCCTCAAATAAGTTTCCAAGAGTTCAGTGCCGTTCCATCCATAACAACCTCTAATCATTCATCACGGTCTTCCAGCCTTACTCAAGGGGTGGATACGACCACATTCTAACAGCAATCTAGGTATAGGGCCGACTTTCAGGTTCACCATTGTCAACTCTTTCTCCATCTGACCACTCCGACGATGAGGACGACAACGCTTTTTCTTTCTTTTCAGGAGTGAAACTCATAAGCCCGCATTTCTCACACCGAGCCGAAGATCCTTGGCCTGAACTCACATGCCTCGAATGCCATTCTCCATCTGACCTTTCTAGAATGAATCAAAAAAGAGAGAGAAATCAAACAAAGAGCTAGCTAGTACAAGAAAGGGAGATTTTCCCCATCTGTTAGAGCAGTGAGTCGGTTCCACTTACACCAAAAGAACTATTTGAATTCATATTTCCTTAGAAGAGCATTGATCTTTCGATGAGAAAGCTCTATTCAGGCAATTGAGTCTTTCTACCAATGAATGAAGATTTGACCTAGCTACTCGACAGAACTGGCCTTTAGCTATCCATTGATCTGAGAATGAGGGAATAAACCTGACCAAGCACTGAACTGGAATTTCTCATGATCGACCCCTTCTTCCTTCTCTGCAGGCATAGCTCTCCTATTGTCCTACGCCCGCGTCTGGCAGTAGGAGAGGAGCGTAGCTTAGAGCCTTGACTTGAGATTCGAAAGCTACTATACTAGAATATGACCGCTTGGTCTATTTGGTTTCCATTCTACTTGTACATCAAATTTGATCAATCTGAACTACGCTCAAACAAAGATTCAAGCAAGAAATGCCTGGGTGTGAAATACCTACCATTGCATTGGATTATGGGTGACTACTCGCACGTGTGAAGGGGCGGTATTCACCTTTGTCATATGCCTACTCCTAGGCTTTCTATTCTAACAACCCCCCGCCTTGGCTCGAGAGCTTCGATTCCTACCCTTAGTGGTCAGTTCTCTAATCAATCTGCTGGGAAGACCTGGTCATATCCAGTTTTCATGTGTAGGCACTTCCTCCTTTTTCTCAGCTAGTGGCCTTCTCAAAGCAGTCTTTTTGGTTCTTCCCTCAGCCTTCCAGCCTTCTAAGGCTGCATTCCGCTATTCATCCTTTTTCTTCCCCTTTCTTGAATGCGCGTAAGGTCCTTACCAAGGAAGTGGGATTGACGGAGACAGAGACCTCATTGACGAATCGATCTTACATAAGCGATTCTGACAGATCAGATTTTCAAAGAAAAGCTCTTGCCAATGCCAATCTCTCCTCTTGCTCGAGAGGATACGATCTTAGGCGACATCCTTATATGACCTCAGGATAATACCTCCTGAAAGGAATTTGAGAAAAAGAAAGAGTTGCGTGAATAATCAGTGTGATTTGCAGTCACATTTTCTTCCTCATCCTCATCATTTAGAAGTCGAACATTCAGAAACATGGGATAGGATTTGAGATCGATTCTATGGACTATTTTTCTGAACTCCCAATCCATCTCAGGCTTAGAGCTTGACCTACAGCAGAGTAACTCAAAGACAGGAAAGGAGGCAAGGCTATAAGAAAAACCTCTTCGTAGACCATTTTAGCGACCTTTAACACACGTTATAGCCCTATTTCAGGGGATTTCCTATTGAGGTGTCCCTAAGCCGTTTTGATGCTTTTAGTATAGGCCTATGAAGTGAAGTCCATGATGTCTCTTTAAGTTCAGCTGTCACGAGCCAAGGTTGAAACCTCTTTTCTGACTAGAAAGCTCTCTGAACCAACGTTCTTGGAGGTGGCATTAATCTCGCGATATTGTGTCAGTGATTCCGATCTCATTAGCAGATTCCGCGGATTCGCCGGGCAATTCAAAAGCTTTACAAAGGAGCTTCTTCCCAAAAAAGAAAGTTCCACTAGAGCATGTGTTATTAATAACGCTAGCGTGACTTATGAGGCAGGAAGGATCAAACTATGATTTCCCCTATGATTGGGGCATTCGTTTGACTGGCATTGAGAAAGAGAGAAAATTGACGAATCCAATGTTTAATACGCAATTGTGACAGATGCTCTTTCTTTCGTTTTCGTTAGGTGCTGAACAAGTAGAAGCATCAGGCAGGTCGCACCTCCAGTGAGACCAACCCTATCCCTCTCCCTTGTGGATGGGTTGCGCCCGCTCTGCTTCACTGTTGTCAGTGCGTTAACAGTGTCCTGCAGGTAAGAAAGAGGAGCAGTATTCACATAGTCATTCCTTTCGATCACATTGCTAGGTTCGGGCAAAGCCAGCTTTTTCACTTCCGCCATTCGAGGGAAGCTGCGAGACCCCTTTCTTTCATTCCATTGTTGTTTCGGATAAGGATTTCGCCTCAGTCTTCGATCTCAAAAGGTTCAAGCTAGCTTCGTTCCTATCGGTCAATCCCTGTTGTGTATCTACGGGTGTGTCCTTTCTAATCGATATCCAGCTTCCGTGAGTCACATTCCTCTGCAAGTGACCTATCTAACACAAGCTTCCCTGTCATTTTCAAGAGCAGGTGCTGTACCTACCTAGGAAGTTTCGTAATTTCATTCTTGATCGAACGCTCACCCTATTCTAACCGAACCCATTCAATCAAACATCGGTCTTGTTGGTCCGACATTTTCTACCTACATAGAGCCTCACTGCACACAAACTATATGTCTATGTACCGCTGGTGCAACAGAATCAACCCCCCAACATGGATGGGCTTCACCCCTAGAGTACGGGGCTCCTATACAATCCCTTGAGATCGAAGATCAACAGGGTTTCTATTAAGGAAGATGGGGCAGATCCAAAAGTGTGAGTCAAATAGAGTCCATAGTGCTTCCATGTGTTTGAGATTACCCTTAGTGAAAGCTCGCGTAAATAGGCACGGAATCGCGCTTTTGATGGTTGTTTTTGGCTTCCATTTTGCGTTGTTTTTAGCTCGTACCCTTTACGCAAAATGAATCACCAAAATGCGTTGCAAATCAATCGTAGCGCTTACTTCAAATCGAAGAGCAAAATGAGGTGCGGTATCTCTCTTGTCTTATGTGTGTGATGGTACGCCTAAAGCTCCTGGAATCAATCTCCTATCCATTTCTTACTCTTTGTCACTTCACATCCGTAATTTCGCTCATTCCAATCTTCATTGTAGGGGGTAACCTTTGCATTTGATGTTTGAAATGTCGTTCAAATGCTTTCTCTTTGTTACCCTATTGTTCACGGAAATGACTATGAGGTCTTGAAGAATGACTTTGGTCAACCAACATATACAGAAAAGAGGCACCTTATAGGCAGCTTATTACTCTTATGGAAAACCCCTACACGGAGGGATGCACACATTCACTCACTGTGAGAGAAAAGCCGCACTCCTCGTTCTCACATGGATTGAAACAAGGGACCTGTTGAAGTCCTGACTGCCTGAGCATAGAAGGAAAGGAACTGTTCCCTGATTGAGATCCGGATTGGCGTGAGACCTATTAAGTAAAGGCACCACGACGACATTCTCCTAAAGCCGAGCTGCCTCTTCACTAAAGAAATGCTCTAAATAGAGAGAATCTGGATAAAGATTGAAAGGACGGAGACGGGCAGAGCGGAGATCTTGAAAGCGAAACGAATTCATAATGAGAGAGGGCAAAGCCTTTCTGTTGCTTATTTTGAGAAGCTTTTGCATCACTTTTCTTGGCTTAGTATCTCCTCATTCCCGCAAACGCCGTGTGCGGTTCAAGCATCGTATCGACACGAAAGAAGGGGTCTCCTCTTCTGATTGAGATGTGAACTGACTTTCTATCTACCACAATGCCCGCAAGAAAATGATCAGTCAATTGAAAAAGTTCATTCTAATATAGCTGTCAAATGACTAATTATCCTTCAATGTTCTTCACTTTCCTTTTCTTGCTAATGGCGCAAATATGAGAATCAGAGCTTAGGTTCGGTCACATTAGGGTTCGGCCTAGCTCTTCGTTTCCCCGGGTGAAGTGTTTTTGATGCTACTGTTCTGAGCTTCTGTGATGCCAGTTATGAGGTTCATGTGCTGGGATAACTCACCAGACAATCTGAAGGGATGTAGAATCTTGCACAGAAAACAGTGGAATAGGGGTTCTAAACCCCCGATTCCTATTATCTAGTTTGGGATGAGTCGGACGGACTGATTCTTCAGCCAACATACCTCTAGGGGCAAATATGACATATTTTTCTTTCTTCTTGTTCCATTGGATTTCCCTTCAGAAACATATTATGCAATTGGTCAACCGATTCCCATATTGGTTTTGTTAGGAGCGACTTTCTCTTCCCCGTTCTCTAATGCTGTTGGGGCATGTACGTGAGATGTCTTGAGAGCGTGCATCCCTGGTTGATGTTCCTGTTCTTTCTTTAGCTTCTCAATATCAATAGTGTGCGCATATTCTTTCTTGGCTTTGGGGATATATCTATATAGATATATCTGTCTATCCGCCTTCTCTATTAGTTGTTTCATCGAATCAAAATTTCACATTCTTGGTCACTTCAAAGCTACTTCGCTCAGTCAAATGCATCTTATAGTAAGGGACCTCCACTTTATGAGATTCTTGGGCAGTTGGTTCGATAACCATAGGGGGAATGGAAAGGTGAAAAAACATCTTCTGACACAGTAGTTACAGTCAGGATCTATTTCAAGTTGACCCCAGTCCTTCACTTCCGAAGTTCAGACCGTAAACTAAACAGACTTTTTTAGCTAATCAGCATTTCCTCGATAGCCGTCTTCTCATCCTGGTTGACCTCTTCTAAAGAGAAAGCTTCCTTTTTGTTGAATCGGGTCTGTTAGAAATTGATCGAATAAGGTCACGGAGGCTAAGTTGGACCACTTTAGACGGCAAGGCAAGGCTTACCACATTTCCATATTCTATTCCTATGATGAGAGGAGGGGGAAAGCACCGTTAGGTAGTTCCTGAAGAATACCCTGTGCATTGATGGGTGGGGTTAGGATCCTTCCATAGATACAATATAAGAAAGGCCGGTTAAAGTTTCTAAGTCTCATAGCTCACCGGAGCTAACCTGACAGTAGCTAGATAAGATAGCTCGTGAAGTGCGCTTTCCTTGATTAAGGGACCCGCCTAATCCTCTACCCCTGGAATTACAGCTCGCCAATCACACCTCGCGCACCTCTTATAGGCTGGGTCAGCGCTTACCCTCTTTTTCGTTGTTAGACGGTTGCTTTCTCAATCCACTAGCTTGACTCGAACTTATAAAGGCTCACCACCACTTCTACAGTAAGTCAATTCTTGCTTAGCCTTAGCCTACTGCATCAATAAGAATGACGTCCAAATACCTTCTGGTGTGGGGCATTGGAGTCACAATGAAAACTGTGAATCTGACTGATGGAATCGCTAACATACGTGCGTGCAAGGCTTTCTGCCTCTGGTGCACCAGCGGCTAATAGACTTATAGTTTGTGTGCAGTGAGTGATCCATTTTTTCATTTCTTCATGAAACCCCCCAATTCTAGCTAGTTCTGAGAGCCGGACCACCCCGCTTCGCGAAGTCTCTTTCTGAAGGCACTCGTCAATACACTTTGCATGAACAAGACGAACCATAGGAAGAAGCAGTTTTACCAGAAAGAAGTGTCGAAAGTGAGTTATATCCACATGGGGATACGGGACGCGTGTCTAGTTCTCATTGTCAAATAAATCCGCTTCATATTCCTTCTGTCTCCCGCAAAGAGATTTCTCATACTCCCACAATTCAAAATGACTAGTCTTAGAATCGAGTTGGACCTTTGATTCATTAACATCTCTTTTTTTGAATCCGCAGAAGGTCAAATTAAGGTTGCTGTTCCATTTAGTGAAGTTATTTCATTGTAATTAGATAGACCTAACAAGAAAGGAATCACGCTCTGTAGGATTTGAACCTACGACATCGGGTTTTGGAGACCCGCGTTCTACCGAACTGAACTAAGAGCGTTTTCTTATCACAGTAGATACGACTGTAAAGAAGGATGCTTTTTCCCAATACATCTTGCATGCATATAGTCTCATAAAATGAAAGATTATGTATGTCCAATTTGAATCGATCTCAATGGATCCCTCGTGACTGCCCAGAGGAGAAGAACAGGATTGGAACCCATGAGATTTTGGACCCAAAACAAAGTCCAAGCTGCACTACATCCCTTTCAATTGGTCGTGAGTGTCATTGTAGAGAATCCCTGCCCTGTTTTCCACATAGTTCTTTCCTACCGACAAGTCATCTTTAGTAATATGCATGAATATATAGTAATAAGAGATCTTCTTTCTCCTGTTTGTTGTACTCTTTCCATTTCTGCTTTTTGGTCTTTATTGATTTAGATACTCATCATCATCCCGCCGCTCCTACTAACGCTTACTTACTTATAAGCAATAAGGGTTCTAAATAATCAGCCCTTTGAATAAGCGAGGCTTTCCCGATAGAAAGATTTGCATGCGACAGAGATCCTAATTCCGTGTATCCGGTTAAGCAACAAGCCCTGCCGCCAGCGCTGTAACCCGGACAAAAAAAGTGAGCGCCTAGCGCGAAAGGTTGCTTTACTAATATGAGATTGGCGCCTTATTCTTTCTTGCTTGTTAGCGCTTTTTCAATAAGGGGCGGAGCTTGAAGAAGCGAGCCTAGAGTAGCAGCCTATTACGTTTTTCAGGCTCCTTTGCCCATTAGTCAAGCGCTTTACGTTTCATAGTAGAAAGTCGGGATTTGATGCTATCCATGAAACCGAAAGAAACACAAAAAACCAGTGCCGTTCGTATAGATCGAGACTTTTCGCTTGATTCTTTACTCATTCCATACTGGGAAATCATTCGAGAAACACTTCTGTATATTTCTTTCTCAATGATATCCGACGATCAAGACAATTCCCGTGAAACTCTTTTTTTTCATAGAAGTGCATTCAGATTTTCTTACGAAGCAAATAGCATTTCCTATTGATTTGTCCTCTCTGGACTGGACCTATTCTGATTCTGAATTATCCGTCGCTACGCTGTTCCCAAGGGCTAGCAGAATCGAAATAGCGAAATTCTTGGGTCATCTCAATGGGTTCAGAAACCACACGTTTCTCTGGATCATCATAGCGTACTTCCACATATCCGCTCAGAGGAAGGTCCTTTCGTAATGGATGACCCTCGAAACCATAATCTGTTGATATACGGCGTAGATCCGGATGATTGATGGAAGAAACACCAAACATATCCCAAACTTCTCGCTCCCACCGGCCGGCTGATGGAAATGGACTGACTACCGGAGATATTCGTGTGACTTCGTCTGCACTGGTTTGTACACGAATGCGTGAGTTATACCGAGTACTCAGTAAATTATAGACCACTTCAAATCTGCGTTTTCGAGAAGGATAATCAACTCCGCAAATCTCGATCGAAACTTGAACCCTTGTATAGGTATGCAATTTCAGAAAGCACAACAATGGAAATGGGTAGTCCGTATTGGTATCAGATCTATTCCCATGTTCCGATCTTTCCATTTTTTTGACCCATTTCTTGGGTAAAGTCCCCCAACTATATTTGAAAATGAATTGGTTATCCATAAAGATAAAGAAAGCTTTCTTGTAGTTCCGCTTCTTGCTCGAAAAATGAAGTCAAGACTTGTCGGAAATCACCGGTTGGGTTGGTCCGACCAAGAAAGGCATGGGAGTGAAGGAGCGTTGCTTGGGCCGAGTTAAGTAAAGACTGGCTGCCTATAAAGATCCCTCACTGCACACGAACTATATATCTCTCTCTTCATCCCATCAAAGACATCACTCAAGCTTCAGCGGCTTTCTATAAACGAAAGAAAAGGCCTTGCTTGACCTATCTTACTGATGCGGGGAATACTATTCTATATTCCATTATCCACACCTGCCAAGGTCTGGAACGGACTGACTTCATTGGCGCAAGATGGAAAAAAACGCATTCTCCTCGGTTCCAACCGGGCTCCCTTCCAAGCTAGGGCTCTTTGGCTGACCAACCCACGAACGAAGAAAGGAGTCCACTGAGTTTTCTGCTACCTATATGATGAATTCGAATGAAAAAAGACTCTCTCATGAGCTGTTGGTTCGCCCGTGAAGCTTTTGATTTACACCTCAGAACGGGAATGAGTAGTACCCTTGATTCGAGAGAACTCCTCGCTGGAAAAGATGGACCAAGCTACTAATGGGAAAGCCAGACTCGCCGGGGCTATTTACATTACAGCAATAGGACTCACTCTCCTAATCTCAAGGAATTAAGGGTCAAAAAGTGTAGTTGATCTAGAAAGGAAGAGGAGTCTGGTTGCCAAATACCACAGGCTTCAACAACTACTTTGTTCCCAAAATCCAAGGTGTGGTGCATCCAAGGGCCACCAAAGAAGGTATAAACTCCCCCTACCATTATAACTATACTCCGGGAATCATTAGAATAGGAGGTTTCGTTAGATGGATTACAGACCCATGCCTACTGAGTAGGTCACCGAGAAATGACTTCATTCCAATAAAAGACATTTTGTGCATCAAACACATTCATAGAGGGAACTTTCAAACAAAACAAATAAGTCAGAAAAGGTTGTCATAATCTGACTCAAGTTAACCCTAATCTCTGGCAATTCCTTTGTCTTAACAACGACTTTCAATCCCTATCCCGGGGTGCTACCTATCACAGCTTGAATCATTTGTTTTTTCCTTCTTTCGTTAAGGGCATCTTTTGGGTATCGCGCCATCCTCTGCTGTAGTCTCGAGGCTCTACAAGTCATTCAGCTTAATGAGCTCTTTCCGAGCACTCTATCAACAGGAGGGAGGAGGGGGGATCTGTTCGAGTTGGAGAGGCTGACGCTTCATAACAAGAGGCTCCTCAAGAATAAGTAGGGGTGTGTAAGGAACTTGAACGTTCGGACGAGAGGTGGTCTGTAAGCACCACCACCAAAGAGATCAATGTATAAGGAGCAGGTCCCGGTCCCGGCCTTAGCGGCTAGCCTAGCCTTTGAAGTACGGACCCCATCACAATGGCAAGGAAATCGACCGATCATGCGAAGAAAGCCGCACGTACCAATATCAAAAAGAAGCCTTGTGTAGCGCTAGTTAGCGCGGCGCGGGAACTTACAACTAAACGGGATTCTTCCTCTGTGGTTAAACAATTCGACCTGGTCGAGCTTTCTTTCGCTCTTTCATCCTTCGCTACGGAATCTATTGTTTGATTTCGGGTACTTCTCGATCGAAGATCCCAGGATTAGAGCCGGAGAACGGGCTCCACCCGCAGGGGTCGCTTAGAGAGGTTCGGTCAGAGAACCCCAAAAGGAAGGGACCGGTTGTGAGGTCCCAGTACCAGACCAGTGGATCATGGTTCCACTTCTCAACTTCTATCTATCTTTGAAGGAGACAGCTACAAAAAGGCATTCCCGTTGTGATGAAAATAGATGTGATGAATGTGACCAATGCGACAATGATAGATTCGCGTAGATAGATGATAGACACTTTGGCTTAGATCTTACTGATCGACTCACAACTCTGGCATCCGCACATTCACCTCCCTTTCTTTCAGTGGGAGGACTTGAATCAGAAGCACAGCGGGTGGGCGCAATTCATATTAGGGTTTTGGGGTTCGACGAGCAAGCTCTAAAGTGAGGAATTTCGCATTGATCAATAGGCTGATTCAACGGACCGCCCTTACTTTCCTTCATCTAGAAGGGGTCGCCCTTATGTAGGTCTAAAGATTTTCGGTTAGGCTTATTGAATGGAAAGCTAGCCGACTGGTTTGGCTATCGGAGCTCCTATACGCTGACCGCACCCCGGTCTGTATACTATATACACCCCTTCGCGACCAAGAATGAGAGAGATGAGGCTAGCATCAAGATCTCCGGGGACAGATCTCCCTAACGGTCAACCATTACCACCCTGTACGACCTACTTTCCTTGACTTTTATACCCGAAAAGCGCCTTTAAGGTCTACCTTTTAGCCCTATGAAACAGAAGGGAGAGTTGGTCCTTGTGATGTGAAAGGGCGACTAATAAGGAGCGTGCTCACAAAAGGAAGCTTAGCGAACGACTGAAAGGATAGACGCCTGCCGGCGATGCTTCATAAAGAGATTATTCTACGGAGGAAGGGGATTGAAGGGAACGTCATGATGCGAAAGTTCCCAGAGGAGAGCTAGGGGAAGGCTATTAATAAGAGAAAGAGCTCACAAGGAAAGGGAATGTTGAACAAGTGCCAGAGTCACTCACTTTCTTCTCTACAGGAATCCTTTTAAGTCAAAGTTCTTTAATAAGGTTCTATTTACAGAGTAGGAGATATTAAACATTAGCGAGCGCACTCGTACGGACTAGTAAAAGGACTAGTAGTAGTTGTCTCATGTTGCCAAGCTTTTTCGAGATCTCACGAATAAGATAGCTCTTTTTTGATAGGCTTTCACTCCTGGGGTGAAAAGGAGCAAGTAGAGAGCGGTAGATTTATGTGAAGCAGACCAGCAGACTCTTGAAGCCTAACCACCTATAATGAATTCAACCTTTACATGGAATAACTATTTACTAGTGAGAATGCTCTGTCTCATGATCCAGGTGCGGTCATGAGATCCACCAAAGAGTTTAAACTCTACAAGTTAGCAATAACATTGATTAAATCGAGTCATAGTATAAGGGGACCGGCCCCACATTCAAGGATAAGCTCCACAGTTTGACTGCATTTAGCTGCTGGCAGCTTTGAAGGGGTAGTAGTGGCAGAATTGGCTTCGACTGATCCATGGATAACCTAAAGCTTCCAGCCCAAGTAGGTTTTGTATATGTAATATATATGGCTTTCAACTCGATCAAACAGGCCAAATTCACACTCCTCATAACAGAGTCCACTAGAGGCAGGAGGCAATTCATAATAAACGAAAAGATATAGCGTATATCCGATGATAGATCAAGTCTATGAGACGGGCAGATTTTGACATGTAAGGTGTGAAGAGCCTTCACAATCTTCTGCGAGGTGACTCCTAGGTGTACGCCTAAAGGAAATCAGAAAAGAGAGCTTGAATTTCCCCTTCAGCAGGGGCTGTTTCAAGGGTTCCAAACCTTTCTCTAATATAAGGTAAGGTAAGCTTGTTGACTCAAGAACGCATTCTCCTCTGGCCTTCGCAAATCCAGAGTTTGGTTGAGAAACATTTCTCAATATTGCACGCTTGTTATATTTGTTTATATAGTTCAAAAAGTATAACTAACTGAAAGCGTCCGTTCACGTAGGTTGTTTGTAGTTTTCTTGCAATAACGGATTTGATTAAAAGAGATTGGGTTGGTGTTCAGTGTACCTTATTAGAAGATCTAAAATCATGCTTTTCATTCCAAGTGAGATGCCCAATAGAAAAGGAACGAGGGGAAGAATCGACGAGGAATCTAGAACATCAAATCGTGAATTCAAAAGCGTGACGAGAATTCTCAACTCGAAATGTTAGAAGGTGCAAAATCAATAGGTGCCGGAGCTGCTACAATTGCTTTAGCGGGAGCTGCTATCGGTATTGGAAACGTCCTTAGTTCCTCGATTCATTCCGTAGCTAGAAATC